GAGGCCAGACCACCTGGAGCGCCACCGGCTACTGAGCCCTGGGCTAGCGTTTGGTCTCCTCAATGGTGTGCCTGCGCCTCTCCTGCCGACAAGGCCTACATCCCTGAGAAACAGCGCCCACTCGAAGCTCAGGAAAGGCAGCACTCTGGAGTAAATAAAAGAGCCCCGGAACGAGCCACAGCAGGACTGCCTTGGGAAAGCACCACAAGGGGCCGTCCACCCCCCCACGCAAGCCCTCCCAAGTCATGAGGCAAGCTGTTCCTACCTCCACTACCCGAGATCTTTTCGCTACCAAGTCCAGGGATCAAACCCCAAGCTTCAGGTATGCAAAACATGGACTTATCAAGTAGTCCTCATGCCCACATGGTAAAGCGATCAAATCCATTGGCCTTAGGATCTTCCTTCTTCCCCCTGCTGCTAACAGGGCTGTCCTCGCATGTTTTCTTATGGATTCCATTTTTGGTAGCTGCGACAAACAGTAAATAAAACCTGTAGTATTTTCCCCCAGGAAGCAAACCTGTCCTTCTGGGCCCTCAAAGGTGCTTTGATTCAAAGGAACTAGCAAAGGAAATATTTCCTGCCCTTTCTTGAGAGTAGATATTTCATTTCGAGGAGCATTTCGAGGAGATGGAAAACATGCAGATAAGCAGCAGAGTGAACCTGATGCAAGCAATTTCTTGTCTAGGCAGCACCAGTTCAACAAATTCCAAACATTTGCAAGGGTGTTGGGAAATTAGCTTGTCACAGGGGATGGCAGATAGGAGACGAGGATTTTCTTTTCTATTTATGACAAACGGCACTTTAAAACTGAAGCCAGGTGCTGAAGGGTATTTTAAAATTTATGAACTTGTAAATCCACAAACACAGCCAATTAAGGTTTATCACCATCAAGGTTTAACTACCCTTAGATATAAATTTAAGGGGTTCTTTGAATCTAAGGTTGTTTACTTCCAACCAAGCAACGTAGTAAAATGATTTAAAATATTTAAAAGACAGCACATTTCAAGATAAAAGTTACAGTTGTCAAGAGCAGTGTGAGAGTTCTGTGGAGGCAAGTGTGCACCGGAATACCACTCTTTTTACCGGGAGACTTGAAAATTCAGTTACAGCGGGTGCTGAGCAGCAGAGCGCTGCAATTCTGGGACAAGGTGAAGGTCTCCAAGGATGGAGCACATGCTGGAATTGGTGGAGACTCCCAGGTTCCCTCCCTGGCTTCACCAGGTAAGGCCAGGAAGCGAGGGATTTTTGCCTGAACTCCAAAGAGTCACTGCTTGGTAGTACAGATAAAACTGAGCTACGATTTGGAATAAGGCGCCTCCCCATATTCCTCTGTAGCCAGAGATACTGCTTCAAAATGCTCTGCCTTTAAAACCAAGTAACCAGACATGCTGGAATCATTTGTGTACTCTTTTGCTCTAAAGACTTCGTTTTCAGAGAAGTGTGAAATACAAAAGCTCTAACAATGCTACAAGACAATCTCTTTTTCAGAGGGGTGGGAAGAGGTACTAGGCAAGTGAGGAAATACTTGTTTAATTTCCTATGTTTTAAATTAACAGTGGAGATTATATATTTTATAAGCTGCTGCTGCTACATGGGGGGTGGGTGGGTGGGCAATCTTTATCAGTTTCACAGTGAGCGCATTTCAAAACTCTTTGAAAATGAAGGATAGCGTTTTCGCCCCGCCCGGCTCTTTGAGGGTGCCACTTTCCCCTGCACACGGTTCCAACAGGAGCCAGGTCCCCTTGACGTTGCAAAGACAACCTAGGTCCAGGGTTGTAAAGTGAATTCAATTAGCAAGCCTGCTGTTCTTCATCATCAACATCAGGACGATAATTAAGGCCCCAGTACCACTCTGCACAAACATCCCTGCACATTGTGGGGTTCCACAGCAGCCGGGAACTCTGCCTTCAGCTAGCATGCATAAAAAAACAGAATTAATAACTATCCAAGTATGGACGGGTGACTTAATCGGTTTCGATTAGATGCAGCTCAGCCTGGAGCTTCTGTTATTTAAATGTGTTCACGGTGTTTAATTAAAAAGCCTAACAAATGTGGGGAGGGTGGCTTTCAATCCTTATCTTTATTTCTACATCTTTTGTTAGCCTTATTGATTCTAGGTGGACTGAACAACAGTCTGAAAATGTGGCCAGGATCCTTTGGTCTCTTTGCTCTTTGAGACCAAAGTTCTTTGAGACCTACTATCTGGTACTTGTCCTTACGATACGATCCACAGTAGGAATGGCAAAGGGACACCTTCCAAAGGAAGGCCAGGCGAGCACCATCTCTGCTTCCCTTCCACCATCAGCAGGTTAGGATATTTTAATCAGGCAGGCCTCGGGCTCTGAAGTTGGCTTGTGTGCTGACAGAACTGTTAACTGGTGGGCACGATTCAGCATCTGGAGTGCCCTGACTTTGCATTCTTCAAAAAAAGAGCAATGCTTCTAGTCCTCATGATGGTGAGAACAGGTCAAAACATTTGCAGACAATGTTTCGTGCCCTCTAAGAAACCCAAGGCAGATGGAGGAGGGTTTCTAGTGATGAGGTAACATGAATGATATAAAATTGTGCTAATAGGCTCATGTAGAAATTAAATGGTGGAGTGCTTGAGCTAAGGGCCCACTTCAGGTGTGAGATTATGGAATTTTCTCCCCTTCTAACATCTCCTGAAAAATGTTTCATCTCAGCAAAACTTTAGTTCTTACTGTTTTATTATTTGCTCTCAGGAGCTTGATTTGTCTTTGTTTTTTCCCTTAAACTGTTGCTTTAAATTCTTGGTTATGATGGTGATTTATCACTATTTTAGGTTTTAATGTTTTTAATCTGGTAAACCACTTCATGTGTCAACAGACATTAAACTGGACTAAAGAGAATGAAGTCAAATAACTGATTTACCTTTGTTTAGAATGAAGCATAATATGCAAAGTGGAAAACGAGGTTTGCAAGACACTAAATGGTAATTCTCACCAAATAAATCAAACTTGAAACGGATTATTTCTATATTAAGCGCATCCACAGTTCTTTGACACTCGATTCTTAAAACTTACCTCCTCTATTTGCTTCCCTCACTCTTGCTAAAGCCTGATGCACTGAGAACTCCTCCGGCCACAAAAAGACTCTTCACAGCCAGGGCCGAAGCGGCGCTGGCCATTTTAGGTGAGGGGGAAGGTGTCCCTCCCTGACAATGCAGGTGAAGTCACAGATGTTCTGGGGGGTGACAGCACGGCTGGCCGCACCAAATGGAGAAGTTCATTTCTGCCAGGACTGTGCTTGTCCAGGGCTCCGGAGAGCTCCTGGCTACAGTTTTTAACTGCTGCTTAGAGGAGGTAGGGCAGGGAGCAGGAAGAAAAAGCCTGCTTTTCAATGTTCCTGAAAACTTCCCTTGCTTTATTACGCATGCGTTAAAAGATGCATGCTTGGGGCTGGCTAGCAGCCGGAAACCTGCGTGTATCATGGTTATACTGCAGGATTCCCCGAGAAGGGTGCTTCCATGCCCCTGCTGAAGCCCGTCCCTACAGCCCACAGGTGAGAGCTCAACTCTTTGGTACCCCCTCCTCACCCAATTTAGTTCCCCCCTAAAGGACACCGGCTTATTAAGCAATCGAGCTGGCCAATGCCCTCCACAACGCCACCGCCACCGACTATTTTCAACATTATGGGAGTCATCTGGAACTCAGTGTGCCTGTCAGGCTAATTTAGAGATTGAAAGCAAAGTGTTCCTTCGGTTCACACTCAACTGGGGAGCTGAGCAGGCGGCGTGCCCTGTTTTTGGGTGGCACCATTTTGCTGCCAAATGCAAGATTGAAGGCAGGGCGCCCACGGCATCCTGAAAGGTGCTGAGTGGCTTCAGCCTCACAGGAATCTGGAATGGGGAAATCTGGAGGATGCTCTGGTACTGTGTGAAGAATCCACAAGCAATAAAGGGGGGGGGATATGGACCCATGAAGCTCCTAAAGTGACTGGCTTTTTGCTTACAAGGTAGTATCAGAGATCCACCTCAACCACCTGGAAAAGGTCTGTGAAGCTCCAAGGGTGGAGCTATAAAAATAAGAGATGGCTTGGGGTCTGGATACCTGCCAGATGCGACTGGAAAGTGGGGCGGGGGGCTGGGAATAGAAAAATGAGGAGACGTGCCGTGACTGACAGCAGCGTCCAGAACGAACGACTGCTGTTCCGCGGGCCCACAGCATTCACTCTTTGGGGGCGGGGTATCATTTTCCATTAGCAGCCCCTGCCTTCCCTTTTGATTTGTAAAGTTCCATGCGCCATCTTTTAAGGCTGACTTTTGATCAAAGCAAGGAGCTGAAATGTCAACGGTGCTTTCAGTACAGAAAAGACGGGGCAGGGGGAAGAAGAGACTGGCTGGTTTATGACTCCACTCTGGGCCTCAACAGCTGCACGTTCAGCCTCTGGGCTCCACCACTGCCCTCCTCCCCCCTTTACCCCCCCCCCCCAGCCCACCACTTCTGTTCCACACTTACTTCCGCCTGCAGAGAAGCACCACCTGGAGCAGCAAACACCTCCAAGCCGTGCCCGGACCTCTAGCATGGTGCTGACACTAAATTCAAGTAATACAGCAAGAACCACCAGAAAACCGCCGCCCACCTTGTCCTGGTCGGCACCAGCAATGCTCCAAGAACCTTTGCCACGCCTCCTGAGGGAAAAGCCACCACAGGCGCAGCCAACCGCGAGGCCGCTCTCTGGAGCGGCCTTACCGGCCGCTGGTTGGGGTGACCTGGCAGGACGTGCCGGGGAGGCCCCAGGCTGTCAGGGGGAGGCCGTGTGCCTTGGGGCTGAAAGGCCCGTGTGGAAAAGGAGGCTTGACTTCACTCTTTCCGTGCAAAGCAGAAGCACAGAAAGGGTCCCCCCACCCCTTTAGCTCGTTAGGCGTGATTAATCTAGGGTTTGTTGGCCTAGAGGGAGCCTACGTGCAGCCCAAGTGGACAAATCTCGAGGAGAGAAGGAAGAGCTCAAGCAGCGAGGTGGAAAGAGGCCCTGCTCACCACTTCGTCTTCCGTCCAGCACTTCTCAATGAGTTTCGGCACGGGCTTCTTCACCAGGCGTTGGAGGGCTTTGCCAGCGTCATAGTTGCTTTCGTGCAGCTAAAGGAGAGAGAGAACAGCAAGCCGATCAGTGGAAAGAACCGAGGGGGAAGGAGGGAATAAGAAAAGGGTGTCCGTACACCCGCGTTTTTCTGAACCGTTTTTCCAAGAAAGATCCAGAGCCAAAGCGGATATTTAAAAGTCTGCCCTGCAGCATTTTCCAAAAGCATTAAAATACATCCACTGGAAGGAAACCATACCCCCCCCCCCCAAAAAAAAAGAAAAGACAGAGTTGCTGCTGCCTTCAAAAGAGACAGGTTCCTTCACAGCCTTTTCTCATTCGCAGTGACTCGATGGGCAGAGCCAGTCCTTTGGCAAGGGAGCGTGTCCGCGGGCAGAAGCAGGGAACTTGCCCCCCCCCCCCCAGAGGTTCTGGCCTACTAGTCCCCTCAATCCTGGAGAGCACAGCCTAGGGGGAAGACTGAGGAAGCTAAAGGCCAACACATCCGGACAGCCACAAGCTGCTCTCCTTGCTCTTGCAGTACTGCGGAAAGGCACTTGGTTTGCATCGGAGTTTTCATGGGGGTTTCAAGCCCACCCCACGCCTATTCTTGAACAAACGAAGAATTGCACATGGTGGAGAAAGTGGAGAGAGAGACATGTTTCTCTCTCTCTGTCACAGTACTAGAACCCCGAAAGAGTCCATCCCATGAAGGAGGATGGTTGGAGATCCAGAATAGATGTTTTTTTTAAAAAAAAACAGTGCATATTAAAAACTACAGAATCCAGGAGATACAATGACAGCCACCAACTTGGATGGTTTTAAAAAAAGAGTGGACAAATTCATGAAGGAGAAGGCCACCCACAGCTGTTCACCCTGACGGCCACATGCTACCTCCAGTAGCAGAGGCAGTATGCCTGTTGCTGGGGAACATGGGTGGGAGAGTGCCCTTGCACACACAACCTGCTTGTGAGATCCATTGGGCAGCTGGCTGACTACTGTGTCGGCAGGAGGCTGAACTGGAGTGGGGGGAGGCTTGGCTGACCTCTGGGGTGCTCTGCAGGAAGTAGAGAAAAGGGGCTTCTAGCGACTGGACACTGTCTGCAGGCCTGGTCCAACTGACACTGTAAATGGCCCACTGGCGCCAGGAGCTGTGCAAAGCAACCGCCAAAGGCCTCGTGCAAGTGTTCCTGCTCAGCTCGCATTCAGGTGCAGCGGCTGCAGGGCATTCCAGCCCAGCTCACCACCCACGGCAGTGACGATTCAGCAAGAGTATTTGAGGCAAAGGGTATGAATTCTAGGCAGGGCCCATTTGTGGGAAACGAGACACTGACTGAAAGTGTTCACGTCTCCCGGCCACCCCCCCCTGCCCTCACGCACCTCCCCGTTTGGGTTGCTCTGCTCCCAGCCTCCTCCGTATGACTCATGGAAGGAATCTATTTTTGCCTGAAGGAACAGAACAAAATTTCCTTCCTTTCCTCTAATGAACAAGCTTAAAAACTGGAAGAAGAACAAGGCCGGAAGAAGGCCAAGAACAATGGGCCAACCGTCAGCGAGAAAGGTGGCGGGACGGTTTAGCAGCATTTCTGTCACTCAGAAGCAAGATCAGACCTTGCTTTCATTGTGCACTCAAATCCCCAGTTAGACAGAAGACTGCGGGGCACGTCTGGGCTACTCCTCCAGGCCTTTAGCGGAGGGCTGAAGGGCAGGGAAGCGATGCTGCTTTGAAAGGCTGGGCGCATGCTCTGTGTTGGGGTGCAGAGCATCAGGCCTGGGGCCACCTCCGGCCCTCCTGGGCTCATCCAAAGGGCCACACCCCCTTTTCATCCTTGCCCCTCCTTTGCACACCCAGTGAGACACTCAGTCACGTCCTGGGGCTCTGAGGTTGCTTTTCAACAGAGGCCTGCCTTTCAGAACTCTGAATATGATTATCACGGAGAGACCGACGCCTCTTCGCATTTTCTTTTGCGGTCGATCCACCGAGAGCGTTCAAATATAAGTCAAATGTTCCCTGCGTGGCAATTTGGTCCAACTCTGGCCAGGCACTTCTCCCACAATGCACTGCAAAGTTTCATCACATTGCTAACATTCTACTCTTCCACCAAGGAAAGTTATCTCGGCTTTGATAAATCAACTCCCGTTCCAACCGTGCTGGCTCATCTTCAACATGCAGTGTAATGACCACTGTGCCAGAGCAAAGGGACATAGTTGCAAAGGCCTCTTGGTCAAGGCAGACCACAGATGACTTCGGACTGATCCCCAGCTTCACTCCTCATTTACTTAAGATGTTTTCATTTTCATTTATTTCTTATGTTTCCAATCCAAGCTTCGCTCGGCGTATTGCAAGCAGTTAAAAGAACGGAATGCCATAAAAACGGTTAAAAGAATAAGATGCAGTACAAGCCAAAAAGCAGCATAGGAATAAATACAGCCATATACATACATACATGAACAGCCATAAAATACTAGAAGCTTGCTAGGAAGAGCAAATGAGCTCCTCGGAGGAAAACAAATATAAAAATGTGATTATGGAATGAATCCTACAGTAAGTATTCTAATCTTCTGTCGTTCTTCTCATCTGGTTGGGATGGGGGAGCAAGCCATGGCTTAGCCATTGAGCCGCCGCTTTGAATGTCAGCACCCCAGGTTTTGTCCCTGGCATTTCTGGCAGTGCTGGGAAAAAAACCTGAAACCCTGAAAGGTGGCTGGTACTGCACATGGAGAAACATCAAGAACATTCACACAGAAGAGAGATAAATCTGTACTGGTTATACACAGAGTCTTCTGACAGAAAAAGAAGAAAGATGGAAGCCACAAATGTAGCCAACGATGCTACCATCAAGCCACCGCCACCAAGGATGGTACATAGACCAATGTATAAAAAGAATGGAGCGAGGAGTGGGTGGTACATGAATACTGTTACCTAAATATCTCCTAATCCTCAGCAATGGGCAACATACATTATTCTGGATTTTACAGGCCACCTGCAAACTAAATAGAAACATATTTTTAAAAATCCTTTTCCAAGCCAGCCACTCAAGAGCAGCTTGTGGATGAGCACCAGCTGCACACAAAAACGAAAAAGTCCCCCCACCACCACCAGCACCCCAAAATGGAAAGAAAGACATCAGCATGTGCCTTTTAGATCACAATGCTACCTCCCCCACCCAAAACTCAGGCCAAAAAATAAAAAAAATCCCAAACCCATCCCTGCCCCTGCTCTTCCTTCATATTACAGAGGATGCGATGCAGCCCCACATCACAGGCAGGGCTTATTAGCATAAACTCTGCCACATTAGCGTGGGGTTAGGGTGGGGGCTGCAGGGGGCGGCTGTTGCGCTTCAGCCCCCACTTCACAACAGAGCTGCCATTTTCTGGCCGTGCGATACCGCAAATAAATCCTCCTTTTGGCATGGCTCAGCCGTCAGCTCCTCTGTTCAGTAATGAATCCATGAATTACGTCTCGCCGGGCTGACACTCCTAGGTCTTGCACATCAAAATATTGTTCTTCGGTTGTAATTTATAACTTAATTTAAACGTCCCTTTCCCTGTGACCTTCCCTGCATCAGAACAGCGCTGCATCTGGCAGCTCTGACTTCAGCGAGGCACTCCGCTGCAATTACACTCATTACGGGCCTTGCCTGAAAGCCACTGCAGGCATTTGGGCACAGATTCTCGCTGTAATATGGAATAATTGGGAGTCCATTAAGAACAGAGTTAGATTTCAGAATGGCATTCTCTTATGGGGAGGGGCGGGAGGCAGGGATGGAAGAGAAAGAGGAGAGAGAAACACGGTCTCCCTGTTACGGGTCTGTATCCATCGGTACTTGGTCTCGATGCACAAAGTCTCACATCATTCAGTCTCCAGTTGAAAGGAGCAGGTAGCAAGAGGCGGGAGAACCCAAGACCACAGAGGGCTCCTGCCACTCCGAACTGTCTAATACTTGACAACTAACACTGGTTGTCTAATACTAAGGCTAAATGAGCAAACTGCTTGGCCAGATATGCAGCAGCCTCTTACGTTCCTGAGGCGCTGGGCTCTCTCCTCACTCCTGGGATTATGCAGCAACTGGAACTTCAGGACAACGGAAGAGACCTGGAGATTTTCCAGACCAGTAAGTGCCAAAGATGGCAGTACATTTGCTCTTGGCTGTAGGAAAAGGTTGGGCAAAGGGATGCCTGCAGGCTAGGCACCCTTCTCAGCACCCTATTCCTCCTAGTCAAAACACAACACAACAACACAACACAGGACTTTAAAAAAAAAACAACTGATGGATGGGATCCCTTCAAAACAAGGCGCGCCACCTTCATTTCCGCAAATGCCTCCGGGCCATGCAGGGGCTCGGAGACGAAGATGGCTGGAGATGCTGTCCTTTGCAGCACGCCCAGCCACCAAGGAAGCAAAGCAGGGCAAGGACGGGGACGCCTGTCACTCCTGCGCAATAAGGAGATACAGCAGTGCTCAAATAAGTGCACGATCCTATGGCTGTTTGGACGGGGGGGAAGTACATTTCCCAGCATGCTCCAGCCATCCTGCTTGGGTGGAGAATGCAAAGAACTGCGAGGACTGTTTTCTGTCCAACTAAGCACAGGTTAGCAGGGGTATATTAGGAGTTGCAGAAATGGGCACAGGACTGCACCCTGGTATGCCTTACATATATCAGGAAACTAAAGTCAAGCTACCACCATACCAGCTGAACACCTGGCGTGGACCCAGTTCTCCAGTGACTTGCATGTTTAGCAATAGATTAAAAATACTTTGAAGGGGAGGGCAGAGTCATCTTCCCACTTCGAGCAACCTGTTCAAAACAAATGTACTTTTCTTTAGGATTAACACTGTGCAGCATTTTGAAATGTATAAGGGGGAAAATGAAACCCTCCAAATCTCAAACATAAATTAAAGTTATAAATTAAAATTATACAGAGACAGGACTATAAAACGTGAGCAGGCTTACAGTTTGTGTGTTTTAATTATGGAAGTAATAGACAGGGCTCCGTGATATTAAGAAGAAAGAGGCTCATCCTATTGTGAGAGGAAAGAAAGTCTTTTTCAAGCTTTAGACTGGTATATGTTTACTTCCATTTAAGGAGAAACAAATCCACGTGCATTTGAAATGAATCCTTTGAAGAATAATTTGAGAAAAAAAATCTGCTCTTACCAAGACATCTGCATGTTTTCTGGTGTTCTCGTTAATCTGTTCTTTTATGCCTGCTGATCTGCGAGTTATTAGAGACAGACTCTGTGTCAATTTAGACTTTGACACTCTTTGAGGGGAGCCTTAATAAAGTCTTTTCTGCCTGTTTGTACTTCTAAAGGAGAGAAGCGAGGAACACGTGCAAGCTGATGAACGAATGCAGATAAGCTGCAAGTGTTCTCACATTAAACTGTGGGTAGGGGGGAGGCACAGAACGGGCTGCAGTCTTCCAGGAGCGATTTCCACTCTGGGAAAGACCTGTAGCTCAGCGGCGGAGCCCATGGTTTTCATGCACGGGATCCATGATTCACTCCACAGCATCTCCACAGTTAAAGGTGCAGTCCTAGGCAAGTATGTATTGAAAGAAGCTAGCTGATAATGCTAGGACTTGCAAGACACCTTTCCACCTACATATGCACAGAACTGTTTCTTAAAAGGATAAGGCAGCTGATGACAGGACAAACTGCTCCCTAGGATAACCATTGCCAGGCAGAAGAAACCAGCCCTCACCAATCGGGTGTTCTCCAGATGTTTTGGACGGCTTCCCATCAGCCCCACCAACTTGGCTAATGTTCAGGAATTCTAGGCGCTGTAGTCCAAAGTACATGGATGGCACCAGGCCAGGGAAGGGTGAAATCGCTGGATACTAGGCTGGAGGTACAACCACCCAACAGAAGGCGGCTGCCGGTGTTCCTATGAGCCTCCAGAAAGGAAGCCTTCACCATGTTCAGGCTGGGGTCACGGGGGCTGCACTGAAGCCTGGAGGACACCTTACCACTCCGAGCCAGAGCCCCTTGGGCAAGTTGCTGGAGTTGGGGCATCAAATGCCGCAGGGAGGAGAGAAGGCCAGTGTCCTGGTACTTCTGCCAGGCCTGCACAGGCAGCCTCACCCAGCCTGCTAAATGCAAGGGCTGGTGCTACACAGGTTTCTCCTGTGTCTAAAAAGGCAGCTCCATGGGAAAGATCCCACCAGAGGCCGATGGGGGGAGCCCTGCCATCCACAGCAGCTCTCTTGCCCTGCAGGTATCAAAGCAGAATTAAGCAGGAGAACATCAATGCAATCACTTTGTTTAGAGTGCTGCTTGGAGGGGAAGCCACACTGGTATCCAGGGCAAGGACTGGTGCTGGGGGCTTCATCTCATTGCCCCTGCTGATGACCCCATCCAAACATCCACACTGCATGCAAATTTGGCCCATGATCAGCAGTCACCCGACTGACTGAGGTGCAATCTGATAAATGTTTGGACAGAAAAACGTCTTCCGGTGCTCAACATGGCCGGTTGGGGCATGCTGGGAGTTTTTTCTGTTAAACATGGCTGGGACGGTACATGAAAAGAGATCAAACCAGTCAGTTTGAGAGGAGAGCAACCCTGACTGCTCTTTAGAAGGCCAAATACTAAAGATGAAACTCAAAGACTTCGGCCACCTAATGAGAAGGAAGGACTCCCCGGAGAAGAGCCTGATGCTGGGAACAATTGACGGCAAAAGGATAGCGGGACGGCAGAGGATGAGGTGGCTGGATGGAGTCACTGGGCCAGTGGGTGTGGGCTTGGGTGGACTCCAGGGGATGGTGAAGGACAGGAAGGCCCGGAGGAGCGTTGTCCATGGGGTCGCGATGGGTCGGGCACGACTTTGTGACTAAACAAACAAACAAGGATGGTAAATGCCCTACGCCTAGCTTCCAACATATACAGCAGGCCGTATGAACAAAAGGGACCGATTGTTTCCAAGCAGGACATTTTCCATCTCATTTGATCTGGCCAGAAAGGCACTGAAATACAACTTGGAATAAACAAACATAACCTCATATTAAAAATCCAAATCCCCACCACCACCACACATGTGCACGCACAGAAACGTCTACTCATGATATTAGGTAAATAATCATTGGAAGAAGTTGTTCAACTAGATAATATGAATGCTGCACAGTGAAAACTTCCCCTGGTCTTCATTTCTATTGGGTGTAATTAACGATAAATCATAGTGAAGGTTACAGCACGCTGTTATTGCATAAATAAAACACTAGCAAAGAAACTTGTCAGGACTGATTTATGTGAAGCGCTACTCCGAAGTTTATTGCATTTCCATAATAAGAAAGCATAGAGCACATCCATTTCTTACTATCAATCTTGGGAGCTCTGTATTATCATTCCTAAATACACACACACACACCCCTTAATGCAACAGAAGGCACTTAGCGGCTGGAAGAGCAGGTGCTTGTCCCACAAATGGGCAGAGAAGGAAGGAAGGAAGGAAGGAAGGAAGGAAGGAAGGAAGGAAGGAAGGAAGGAAGGAAGGAGGGGCAGGCAGATCATGGCCGGCCCAGGTTTGCCCCGCTGTAGAAGCGGCCACATGTCTCACGCAAGCACTCAGTGCCAGGCTCAAACCACGCCTGGGCGAGTGGAGGCGGGCAGCACGCAGCATTTCCGCGGCCTCCCTGCGTCAGCTCCCTCCCGAGTACAAATGGGAGATCCATGCTGTGGAGTGTCTCCCGACGGGAATGAGCCCAGAGCGCTGCCTCCGCGGACAGCAAAGAGCCCCACGTGCGTGGCAGCAAGCAGTTCTTGCCCAAGGCAGTGGGGGCTCGTGTGACGCGGGACTTCATGCCAGCCAGCGCTGTCTCCCACCACCCCCTGGTGTCCCACAGAGCTATTTCATGAAGGCACAAGCAGGCAGGGGTCTGCGTGCCTGTTTGTGTACACAGGGTCTGTGAAATGGGTTCAGGAGAAGGCCTGAAGGTTGACTTAGGGGTGGAGGTCAATCTGCTAGCTGCACATGAGGATGCCACACACACACACACACACACACACACACACACACACACAATCACACAGAGCGCCCCTTATCCAACCAGGTAGCCCTCTGGCATTATCAGAAAACTTGGCTGCACTATCAATCTGTATAAGGGAAGTAAGATATTGTCAGTTTTATTTTCAATTCATGTCCTAATTGCGCCTAAATTAGTCCTGGGCACACAGGCTTTTGAAGCTAATCATCAGCTTTAAGGTAGTTTTGCATTTGTCTCATAACAACATGGAACTGGCTTAAAGGGCTGTTGTAAGAATTGCAGAGTGGCAGGGTATATTCATTAGGTCTCAAAAGAACAAACTTCAAGATGTTTACAAATATTCCTGCCCTTCTTCACTACGTCAAAGAACTTTATTTATTTCATTAGTATGTCACCCAATAGCCAAGGCTCTCTGTGTAGTTAATGGAAGATAAAAATAAACAAAATTAAAACACACACACACACACACAAATTCAAAAGAACAAAACCATTACAGCCAGCTCCCTATCCCTACTAGCTGAAATGAACAATGAAATCAAGGCATAAAGAAACAAGACAAGCCTTATTTCCCAGGCTTTGAAATAGAAAGGCTCCTGCCTAAGCCGTATCAGGCATCCAAACGGCAGGAAGATTCAGAATGCTATTAAAATAGAAGCTGGACACAAGAGGAGGAGTTACACTATGAATGATTTCTGTCTCTGTGGTGCTTTTTTTGAGGCCGAGGAGAAAATCTCTATCCCCAAAGTGCTTTGTGATTTGCAGGTGGGGCAGAAAAGCCCAAGACCCACATGGGAAGGTTCTAACAAGCGGAGACTTACAGTGTTGAGCGCGTTGAGAGTAGTGTCATCACGGGAGGCTGCAACACACCCGTCTTCTGTGGATCCTCCATCACACATCCCTGCAAAAGCTGCCATGCTCCTTGAAAAGTTAATGGGAAAAATGTTCTTATTATCCCATGACAAAACATGCTAAATAAGCAAAGAAAGAAAACTTCTTGCGAACTTGGTTTGAACTTGGCAGCACCTGTGTCCATGCAAACTGGACAATTTATCTCCAAAAATCTTCTTGGAACGTTACACACCTGGGTGATTCTGGACCTTTATCCCTCAATAGGACCTTGGAGCTGGAAGTCACCTGTCCCTGATACCAAAACAGGGGAAATACATCAATGTTCCTTTACCTTGCTGCCCTCAGGTACATGAGGAGGTCGCAGTCGTTGACCCCAGGCATCCACACAAGCTCCTCATGCTGAGTCACAGTGTCACTATCTCCCGAAGGGAATGGCTGCAGCTCTGGGAGTTTCGCCTGGTGGGGAAAACAAGAGGGAGCTTGTTGAGAGGGAGGCTGGACTGCGTCGTCCAGTCTTGACCATGAGCCCAGGAGGCAAAGAGAGGCAGGCTACCAGAACGCCACCTCCCTGCTCCCCTGTGGGAAGATCAGCTGCCCCAAGTGACCAGGCAGGGCTGCTTTCAATGGGCACTTGGTGCCTGTTTTCCAGCCCTCTCTTTACAGGTCTTAACATTTCACAAACGGGTATGTGCGGTCAGCTGAAGGAGTAGAATTCAGGATGGTGTTTAATTTATTTGTTTTGTTTTATGCTGCCCGCTGGCCAAAGCTCTCTGGGCAGTTCACAACCATTGAAGCGAAAAGGCTTCCTCGCAAAGTTGATAAAAGACTCATCCCCATTTCACAGAAGGCAGGAACAAGTCATTAACTTCACCACAGCCACTCGGGTTTCTTTGCCAGAGGCTGGATCCAATCACATCGCCTCCTAGAAAACAGGTGTTTTCCTTTACCTAAGAGATCCCCCCCGACACACTGACCTTGCAAACCCCCCCCCCCCCATCCCTGCATTCCCACCTTGGCCCTGGGAAATCAAGGCTGCCAACTTGACCGACAGGCAATTCCAGAGCGGGAATGTATCATGACATGCAGGAACTCTGTGCCACACTGCAAGGTTCAATTAACAGCCCTCAAGATCAGCAGCAATGGGTGCACGACTATATAGAACTTTTCGAGCCTGTAATTACCTTAGACAGTTACAGCACAAATCACATCCGAGAGGCAGGATTTTATATATACCATATGCAACCAGTAATTAGTAGCACAAGTTCGGAAGCGTCTCGTGTGCTCCCTTTGTATTTCTCTCCCATTTCTTTTCCAGGGAGGAAAGGACGTGACGCGGCTTCACTGCTGACTAGCGAGGCACTGGCCACGGCTGCGTCTGGCACCAACGAGGGGCTGCAGGCAAGCGGGCTGGTGCCCTGGTGCTGGCAGGGGCCAAAACAGGACCCTCACACCAGCGCGTTTTCCCCCTCCCTGCAAGGGCGTCGGGAAAAAGGGGAGCAGTGGCGAAAGCAGCCGGAGTGCCTGAGAAGCACCCAGAAAAAAGAACGAGAAGGTGAAGCGCCAGCAAGCAGCCCTCCTTTGCCTACAGTGGCTGATGTGAACCGCAGCACTGCCAAAATCAGGGCCCCTTTAGAACAGCCTTGCCGCCTAGAAGAGCCTGCAAATGTTCACAAACGTGAGGTCTGGGAAAAAAGGGGACTGTGTAAAGCTCTCCTCCCTAGTCGCTGGGAACCGAGTCACTTGCCCTCCGTGAGTAGCTACAGCCAGGCCAACATTATAAGCAAAAGCTCTCATATTCCCAAATGCCAAGAGCTGGGCTTAACTGGGTGGTTTCTTCCCCCGTGTCCCTGCGGAAGTGAGGCAAGGGCCCGCCTCTTCCGCAACCCCTCACGCTTGCTAGGGGGCTTGAGGGCAAGCAGAGGTCTGGATGGCAAGCCACACTGCTATCTGAGGGCTCCTGGTCAGGAGCGAGGCTCTGCTGGCCGAGGACCAGGGGCCCGTAAGCAATGTGATGGCCCAAACACTCCTGGGGCAGGTTCCCAAATGCTTGGAGAGGCAGGGAAACGCTGCAAGCCCTGGAGTTTTGACTCAGAGGTCCAGGAACATCCCGTGTGAAGTTGTGCTGCGTTGCCCTATTGCGACACATGATGGACCGATGAATGACGCCTTGTATTGGGCAGATCAGAGAAGTCCTGGAGCCTCTTTTGCCTGGAAGAGATAGTCCACCTCTGATATTCATAATGCAAGGAAGGCTTACCTGATGGCTCGGCCCAACCCGGATTTCACCCTGGGTGCTGTTCAGCCTCCTGCAAGTGAAAGATACAGAACCAGGATTAAAGGAACTGTGTAACGCTGATCTCCCAGCACGGTTTGAACATGAATACCTATGATCGTGACAGTACGAATGGGAAGAAAAACACGCTCTCTCTATTTAGTCTTCAGTGACATATTGAAAGGTTACGGAATAAAATCGAAATCATAACCAAGTCTGTGTCAAACCTCCAGAGGCTATTTTTATCCAGTAGGAACAGAATGTAAAATGGAGACTCACGCAACGCTTCTCAAAGGCACACAAAAATCTACATTAAAGCCACGGCATTCTATCAGCAGCAGCATTTGAAAAACCCTTGTTCAAAATGTGGAAAATGTTAAAAGATGACATGGCAGATCAGTGATTTTCTGTTCAGCCTTAGCCAAATCTTAGATGTTTCTGAAAGAGAAACCAAGACTGTATCATCAGATGCCTTAACAGAATCACAACCCACTTCCCCCTCCTCCTGAATTTATCTTCTTTCACTGTGCATTTTGTGAAAGATACCCTGGGGTGGATTTAGTCTCTTAGGGGCATGGAAGTCCTGCTCAAGGGAGAAACTGGAAATACTGAAGAGGCTTTCCTCTCCCTTTTTCCCTTTGGCAAATTGTATACAAACTGCACAGGGGACAGAAATGTAGTAATAATTACAATCATAAGTGGGAGATAGACAACTTGCTTGCACATTTTGAAGTACCAGAGTTTAAAGAAATAAATGGTGCTGCCAGATTCCACCGCCGCCCCCTCCACTTTTTACGCCTCAGCCAAGCAACGTCTCCACAACAGGCTGCCATCTAGCTGCTTGCAAAGGATGCCACCTATCGAAGGCAGATTCTTGGTCTTATCCGATCTGTCCCACCCCTGCGGCTTCACTCAGCTTAGCGCTTGCGAGTATGAGGGACCAGGCTGCCTGAATGCCTAACTCGCAAAGCCAAGGGCCAAATTTCAACCCCTGCCCCAACTGCAGCACAGACCTGGCCTTTGCTCCTGGCTGAACCCAAAATGCTTTTGCAGCACTAGAAACGTGTTGCACTCATTTTACGAATTATTCCAGTGATGTGGCAGCAAACATTTACGTCCTACGGCGAAGCAGGTTGGTCAACCCCTTTGGCAGCTGGCATATTTTTCAGAACATATTTGCACCTATGTAGGATACATTTTTATTATTAAACAAACTCAGATTTTTTAAATACTAGCCAAGTTTATCCCACCATTCTACCAACGAGTTTGGACTAACAACTAGGTGGGTCAGGGTTAGGCCAGAATGCCCAAGGCTACTTCATAACGAAGCAGGGACTTGAATGTGGGTCTTTGTACTGCCCAGCTGACAGACCGTCCACAGCACCACAAGGCGTCTCCAGCTTCTTGCAAAGTTGCAATAAAAGCCATGGGGTGTATTTTCTGCCCCTCAGCCTCCTACTGACATCGAGGCCTGAGCCAACAAGCATTGCTGACTGAGAGGGCCAGCTGTAAATAAACCTCCTCCGAAAGACGCCAAAGAATACATGATTTAGGATGCAATCCAATGTATGGAGCAATAGAGAAAGTGCCTACAATTACATGCTAGGAGTTTTGGGCCTTTTATTCAACTCAACACACATAGTGATATTCTTTTCTTCATCTCAACATGCACAGATAACCGTCTCGGGAGAGAGAGCCCAGCTGAGGGCAAGCCAGCCACCTCTGTACTGATCCAACCTCCGCACAAAAACCGTTACCCTGGTCTGCACAGGCAACGGGATACCAAGGTGCAAGTCAAGCGCTTCCCAGTGCAAATCGTGGACTTGTTAGAAGGGGGCCCTGTGGCAATCCATCCCTCTCAGGTGTTGCCCCCTGAAATAAGGGGATAGTACTGCTAACCTACTTTATAAGGTTGCTCCAAGGGTTACAGCAAAAGAATCAAGGGACACTGGGAGTCTGGCTCCCAGAATAAGCCCCACAGCACAGGGGAGACCAACCTGGCTCCTACACATTGGCCGGAGAAGGAATAGGTGCAGGGGAGGTTATTTTGCCCCCCTCTGTCGTGGAGAGAACATGCCCAAAAGGTTTGAAATGCAACACGAGTGCCTGAGCTGTGCAGCTGCTTTTTCTCCTCCCCCCTTTGCATTTTGTGTCTGGTCTTTTAGATTATACGCCTAAGGGCAAATAGCGCTTCATCATTAATCTGTGAGCTGGTCTGGGAACATTTTTCTGGCTGAGGATTGCAGTTAAAATACCGTAAGTAAAACAGACAATAAGATGCATGTGAAGCACTGTTTGGGTTCCAGAAGCGATGCACTTAAATACTTAAAGGGGGCTATGAGAGAGCACATGCACCTCTTGCGGCAAACCTGGGTTGTGTTAGATCAAGAAAGCACCTCGCTGTGTGCATAAGCTCAAGCAAGTTACCAAGTTAACTGCAAAATAATACACTGTCCCCGGGCTGCCAGAGGAGGGTAGACACACAAGGGGGACAGAGCCCTCTCTCCTCTCCACAAGCCCGCTCATCCACCCTGCATGCCCTTCCTGGACACCTAAGGCTGCCAGGGTAGAGCCTAAACACAAGCCTTGCCTATCATATAAACACAATCTCTTGCACTTTGAAGGCCAAACTGACAAAATTTATTTCCAGTAATCTTCCAGCTGAAGGAAACGTGTGTTCCAACACATCCAAGACACTCGGTGCCTGCACAGAATTGATTTCCAAACAGTAACATGGGCGCACGCTACAGTATTGTGTTCTTTCTCTATGGCGTTCACAGCAAGGCAAGAAAGATGAAGCACGCTTATTATGTAAAGGGGGAAAATGCATGAATAGGAACCAATGTTCATGGAGTTGCAAAATACAGGCTGCTCTGTGTAATCTTTTCTTCTGTCCTGGTTCTTTTATTCCCACAGTTCGGTTTATAGTGAGAAAAACAAGCTGCTAAATCCATTCCTTTATTCCAACACCTTCCTATACAATGGCTCCCTGCCCAGAAAGAGGTCTAGCGAAAGGGACTCTGTGTGGTCTTCTAAGAACACTTTGAACAGAAAACGACAGCCATGCAGCCAGGCGGTGTTCTTATCCCTGCTTAACGGATTCTTCTATCAGAAGGTATTTGGCTCCCTCCAACCCATCCCAAAAGGTACATTCAAGCCACCATAATAACACCATGCGCCGGTGAAGATATGGCTCGGCACATGAGCAGAGAAATCTCTCCATGCACTCAGTGTGGGGCAGCTTTAGAGCATTTCTATGTGTCGAAGGGCACTTCAGACTAACTCTGTTCACTTCAGACTAACTCTGTCTAAGAAATCCAGGACAGACAAAAGAATAGCACACAGTTCATTTGCCACGGGATGTAGCAGCAAGATTAGAGGGTTTCTAAATCAGCATTTGGAGAAACTCATGGAAAGTGAATTCCCAAGCAACGGCTACTAGTTGTACGAGTGATGTGGAAGCACCGTAGATGGAGGCTGCATGCCTCCTGAATACCAGCTGCTCCAGACTGGCCACCGTGGGAAACGGGACAGGCAGCTAGACAGGGCTTTGGTCCAATTCTGTATGGCTGAAGTTATTCAGCAAAAATATACACAGGTTCTTGCTCCACTGCAAGTTACCCACGTGACTATCGGAAAGGCAACGGCTTCAATGGACAAGCAGCTCCAGCCTTGCAGAGGCTTCTCTGGCTTCTCGGAGAGGCCAGCTCTGAACACTGCTACGGCTGAGACTGTTTCTCTGGATGCGGAGTCGCCTGAGGAAGCAACTCAGCTCCTGGGAGAGTCCTCCTCTTGCCACGTGAAAGGAAAGGGCTGCAGATCACTCGGAGTCCTGCAGCACAGGGCTCGGCCAAGGTATCCAAGCCACTCACACTGCTCCAGCCGTTGACCGCTTTAGTGGGGTGTGAAAAGCTGCCCCCACCCAGCATGAACTGCTCAAGGGTGCAGGGTGGGAGAACGGAGGCTCTTTCAGTCCTCTGGGTCTCAGAATGGCTCCTTCCTCCGCCAAGCCCCCAGTTTCTCTTGACTTGCCCTGGTTACACATAGTCCCAAGTCAGGTTTGGTTCGAAGACTGAAGTGGCACAGCGTCACAAACCTTGTCAGCATTTTTCATCTAAAACTGAGCTGGCTTTGTAGTCTAACTTCCAATGCATAGGAAAAGTGACACCATAGAGGATTGAGGCTGCTCATTTTTCCTAGAGGTTCAGCCTGCCTGCCTCTCTCATTTGGGGGGGAGGGAGAGCCACGCGCACTAGGCTGTAGCCTCCTGACTGATCTCTCATCGGATGCTCCCTCAGTGGCCTTCCGGCCCCACAATTCAGGCCTGGGTCCTGCCAGGACTTCAGCTCCCAGGGGCCTCAGCTACGAACAACCCTCCTCCTTGCAACTGGGGAGGGCAAAGGCTGGCCAAGGGACAGAGCCACTGAAAATCTCCCTCAGGGGACAGGTCTGCATACTTTTCGCCCAAGTTACTTTTGCATAAATGTGCTTTCCGAGGCTCATTCCACCCCTTTTCTGTATCACTCTGTGAACTGTAAAAATCAGGTTACAATTCGCATTTAATGTATTTCCAAAAGACAGGCCCTTTTGTATCTGTTTTAGTTCAGGAAACACAAATCAGTTTGGTTCCCTTCCAAATTCAGACAGAACAAAAGCCTCCAAGCATCCCTCCTGAGCTTCCCCTCCTTCACTCCACCCATTTTCCTTCGCTTCGGGAAGAGTTACGACAGGATACAGGTTATTAGCACGTCGGGCTGGCAGGGCTGGGAGCGCCCTTAAACCCGAGAAGGGCATGCATCATTCCGGAACACCACCAAAGGGACCCATCTTGCTACAGAGGCACCGATCGAGCCTAGGAGTGCTTGGCCCAGCGTGGGGAGGCCTGGGCTTCTCCTTCCAGGGGGAAACGGGTGGTGGGTTGAAAAGAAGAGGCCGGTGAGGAGGCAGTGCCGTGTATGAAATCTGACACCAAAGGAAGCCTGTGTAACAAAGTGGTATCCATAGCAACAACAACTTAATATTTCAGTCCCTCTT